TTTCCAAGGGTATCTAGTTGAAATTAGATCACTTTCAGATGTACAATGAAGTGGACAAAAAGGGATTTTGCATGACAAGACATTTTATATAATTTGCTGTGTGCAGATGACAGTACGAGATGCACTGAACACTGCCATGAATGAGGAGATGAAGAGGGATGAGTCAGTCTTCCTCCTAGGAGAGGAGGTTGCAGAGTATGACGGAGCTTACAAGGTCAGAAATCAACATCATACAATTTTCCATTTACAAACTTAATTTAGGGATTGGATACATTTGTAGTGTGATCATGTGACTGTGCCAAGATGATTTTGTGACCAGATGATGTGAAAAGCACACATCTACCTGTTTGTGTAAATAAACAACAGTCTAAAGAATATAAAGAATATCTGAACCAGTTGTGAAGCCAAGATGTAATACTAGTATGCATCTGGTGTATGATGAAAATGTTCATCCTTTCTGTCTTTTGTTCAGGTCAGCCGAGGCCTGTGGAGAAAGTATGGAGACAAGAGAGTAATGGACACCCCAATCACAGAGGTCATCTTCATCGTTTGGTTGTCTCTTTTATGTGATGTTTATATGCTATCTATTTTAATTTGTGGTTTAGAAAAGTTTTTAAAAATTTTAACACCCACCAAGGAGCTTTCATCACAAGGAGGGAGATCGACCTTAGTTTCCTTTCAAGGATGTTCGTAGCGCGTGTGAAAATTTGATTCACACCCGAGTGCCAATGACACTCATATGCATGAATCCCATGCCGGCGCGCTAACGCCTTCCTTTTGTTATTCAGGTTGTTTACAACCTGGCACAGCCTAGTAATGGCGAATTGTCTATGGAGCGATTTTTATTTTTGCAGGTTTGAGGAGGATTTTGAAATGATAGGATAGGAAAAAGAGTATTACTCGGGCGATGATTTCTCGAATCAATGCTATACAACATCTGCAGATGGGTTGCATTTATTTGTCTGCGTGGGTCGCTTTATATTTCTACAGCAAGAGTAAAAATGTGGGGTCTGCGGAATAGAACATAACATATTCCTTTTTTCTAAATATTTGTCGGTAATATTCCTACAACCAAGGACTTACAAGTAGCGATTGTGGTGTGAAGAATTGCAAGTTA